GAGCAGCCTCAGTGTATTTTTTATTTTCTTGTTAGGTTGAAAACTTTCACCTTTTTGCTTTATAGCCTCTCTTGCACAAATCTGACTTGCCAGATCACTACTCTTGTGCTTTGGGGCCATTGTTAAATAAAATAAAGGTGACATGAACACAAGCACTCTGATACCCCGACAGGTGATACACGGCTACCAAGTGATTAACAGGTGGGCAGCAGATCTAGAGTGGATACACTGAACCAAGGGATGATTCACAGCCTGGGCGGAACAGTAAGAGGTTCCATCATGCTACTTAGAACAGCACACAACTTTGGATTTATGAATTGCTTATTTCTGGAATTTTCCACGCAATATTTTTGGAACTTTGTTGACTCTTGTGGGTAACTGAAACTTTGGAAAGCAAAACCACATCTACATCTATACAGTCATTCACTGCTTAGTGACGAGGGTCCGTTCTGAGAAATGTATCCTTAGGTAATTTCATTGTGCAAACATCATAAAGTGCACTTACACAAACCCAGATGATATAGGTTACCACACGCCTAGACTATATGGTATATAGCTTATTGCTTCTAGGCCTCAAGCCTATACAGCATTGTGGAGGCTAAAGTAACCCCATCTTGGAAGCTAATCTACCATGTTGACTTCTGATGAGCCTCGGTTTTAGGAATGCCTTTGAGATTTCCAGTATATCTAGTGTCCCTTTGTAAGAATATGTACTTACTGTAAATCCTTCCCTTAGATCAAATTCCTGCCCATTTCCTCTGAAGCATGTGTACCTCTTCTCTATAGCATATAATTCCTCAGTCTGGGGGGTAATGGCATGGAGATCTGCCTGTCTTGCAGCCACCCAAGATCATGCTTTTGTTTCTAAGTTCTCCAATAAAATCACCCTATAACAAGCTAGACTTGACTGCCTCCTTTTGCGTTTGGGGGTCACTTTGCATACATGGCCCTTTCATGAAACAAGCATATTACTGTACTGAATACAGCAGGCAAGTGTAACATAATGGTATTTGTGCATGTAAACATAGAAAAGATATGATATAAATATGGCATTTTAAATCTTACAGGACCACTGTTGTATATGTGATCTGTCATCAACGGAAACATCATTACGTGGTGCTTGACTGTCAATGTATCTTCTACTAGTTCTGTTTCTCTGGAGAACCCTGACAATACAGGCTGACAACAGATGGATGAGGGTTTGCTTTGTCATTTTTTTTCCCTTACCTCAGCTCATCTCACCAGTATGGGGCTCTGGCAAAGTGTATCAACTCATTGAAAAGTTCCTATTTCTATAAATTAAATAAAAACCCAATTAAAATTTAGTAGGTGCTAAAACTTGGTTTTGAGATTTTATTAAAAAAATATATTTGCAAACATATAAAATTTAGGATGAAAAACGCTCATTTTAAAACATGTAATAACTTAATATTTGCAAACATACATAGATGGTATAAAATCCATACCATTAAAAATGTTAATGATGCAGTATTGCGCTCGTGGAACAAAAATCTTGCTGTAATTCCAGAGCTCCACTTCCCCACATCCCTGGGAGCTGAGAATCTGGTACAATGAAAGTCATGAGAGCCACACAGCCAAGCAGTAATACAGAATAAAAACCACTTAGAACACATAGTTAAAAACAAGTTTCTCAAGGAATCACACAGACAAAAGGGAAACAAGTCTGCATTTTCCCTACTCCAAAGTGAACGATATTGCATCTTAGCATTTAAATGAAGATGTCAAGTACAAAACTGAGTGAAACATTGCACACAGCTCTCCTGCTGAATTTGCGGAAAATCAGGCTCCATGAGGCCCCGGCCCACTGAGGGAAACGTACTCAAGCACAGCTTTAAAAAAGTCTAGTGTAAGTTGCTTTACTGAGCTCTGATCTTGACATTTTAGATCCTTGAAAACACAGGGCGCTATTGTTCCAGAAGGTAGGCTGAACAGAACAGCAGAAAACCAAAGGTAGGCAAGAAGGGAAGACGTGCTCCGCAGCCAAGTGCAGCAGGGACGCAGGACACGGGCCCGTTCCTCAGTTCTCCTCACTCACACGGGCTGAGCCCGCTCCTGCCTGTGCTACCTCCCATTCCTCTCACAATATGATGGCTGATTTTGTGTTTTAAGCAGTTAGGCACCTTCGATTTCATGTTGCATTATTAGTAATACAATGGCAGTTAGGGCCTCTACTACCAAAATGAGAAAAATTCGAACTACATTCTTTGGGGGAGGAGAGTAATAAAGCTGCATGGTTTAAAAATATTTACCTAGTAGTGGATTCAATAGGGCTTATACTTTCTACAAGAAAACATAGTCCAGAAAAAGAACAAATGTGTGATATGCAAACCTGGTCAGACATATTCTAAATGAAGCCTGTGCATCCTCTTGTGGAGAAGGGCCCAGGCTGACTGGGGTTCTTCACACAACACCACTCTCTGTGATGGCTACACCTAAGCCTTCGAAGGTGAGTTGTGGACATTCCATAAGCAGACAGCATGAATGCTTCTCCTGACACTGATGGTCACTTGGAAACGTAGGACTTAAAGTCAAGTAGGTCAACTCTCACACCTCACAAATCCTAGGAGAGAGGCATGATGGCGAGGAGCTTCTGCATTGAATGAATGAGGCTGTCTGGAAGGTATGAGAGTCCACTCAAGACACCACATTAACTACATCAAAAAGAAGGGCAGTGCCACCCACCAGTGACGCCCCAGACACACCTCTTCTCCAAGCCAGCTGCTCCTCTCAGAGCCTACACTTGGACCCTGGAGATGATGGTGGGTACACAGACAGACAGAGTGGTCTAAATGCAGGTCTCCTGGAGCTCTGTAAAATCTAGCAAGATGTATCTCCATCTTGCTATTCATTTTGACCCAACAAAGGTCCAGAAAAGACACTGCAGCAATGTAAACATGCAACCTAAGCTAGCATGAGGTTCTAGATAGTAAGCCTGAACTAGGAATAAGGCAACTGAACTGTGACTTTCGGGCCAGGGTCATCCAACTGCAACTATCCAGGCTTGGCCTGGCTTCTCTAGGGACTCATTCTGGCCTGAACTTTCTGGTAATCATGACTGTGAACTTCTGGCTTCTGAATTTTAAGTAAATGCTTTGAATACATAAATTTGGGAATTGAAATAGGTTTACCCTTTTCAAGTCAACATGACTTGGGCACTTAAAAGTTTACTTTCACACTAAGGAAGCCTTATCATATAGATTCTCTTTGCTGTCTATCATATTCATTCCTAGAATTAAGGGGTGAAAATGAACAGATTTGACTTCAGGCCTTCTTTAGGATATTCTCTCTTAACTCTCTCATAATAGTATACATACTCAAAAGCATCATTTAAATTCAAATGTCTATTATAACAAGATCCCTTGATTTGTCCATTTACCAAAGCCTACTGAGACTATACTTGGGGTATGATCAAACCTACGGGTACATCCACTGTGTGAAAACAGTCACTTGGCTCCCTGAACACCATCTCCCACTCTCAGCGACACTTTATCTTACTATAACTTTCTATTTCACAGATGATGCATGATCAATTCATTTTTGGTTGCTGAATTTACACTGTCTTTGAAAACAAACTATTCCTAATTGAGCATGAAAACTTACAAGTGTCCCTGAATTATGCACAAGTCACACATAACTAATAGACAGCAACAGAAGACACTAAATTGAGAAGCAGAAATGCGGTCCAGGAAGCATGTTTAGATCAACAAAAATCAAATAAACCAAGTATTCTTTATGCTAAAAAACTAAGACCAAACTAAAACAAGTATGCAATTCACAAGTAATTTTCTAAAATTTCAGCTAGAAAGAAATCTATGGACTTATGATTGAGTTACCATTAAAGCTTAAATGATTGTTCCCGAGGAACCATCACATCTGTCAGCATTATTCACAGCTAATCTTTATGTTAGCTGGTTGAGCCATTGGGTTTTTACCCCATCATTAAATAGTGCTCAGAAAAGTAAGCAGTGCATCTTAATTTGTTAAATACTACAAAATGACCTGTATCATAGAAACGAAGACTTTCATTTAAAGAATATCTTAAAATTACCATTGCTGAAATAAATCAAAATCTACATTAAAATATTACTAAACACCATTACATGCCATAAAAGAATAAATATAAATCATGGCAGATCAATAGCAGCATAACAAAGCATCTTTACATATTTTCACACTTTGGGCTGGGAAAGTACTCACAGCCTAGGAACACATTGGTAGAGTTCTGAATCTCACACTAACTCCTCCTACTACAAAGGGCAGTGTGAATACTAGCTCCCTTTTCTGCATAGCTTTAAAACTATTCTCAGTTCACTCAAGAAATGGAACCAGAATGGCTTTGTCAGATCAGTCCACTAGTCCTTGTGTCAAAGTGTTAAGGAAGACAATCAACAATGACTTCTAACTGTGTTTACACAGAAAAGGAAACTAAGGCTGTGCTTCACACACGAACTGAGTGTAACTTAAAATGAAGATCTGATAGGATTTGGGCATCACCAGCCCCAGCCTTTGCTCCAAAGATGTGATACGCTGGCTCCCACACCTCCAGAACCCAACAGTGCCCTATTCAAACAGTAATGCTGTTCTGGAAGCCTGTCACATGGCCAGACTGGGACTTAAAAACAAAATGCTATTGAGAAATTTCAGAGTTTTTAAGGTCCAAATGGGGCATTCATATAAAATATACTTCACTTGAAAAAGTAATTACTAATTTGCCAACCTAAACTGATCCTTAAAACCTGAAGCTATTCTGCAGAGCTGACTTCTACTCTGTTCAGAACTTATCAGCCCAATGTCAAATTTCCTGGGGGTAGTGTTGGGGGAAGGGATGTGGGCTGAGCTGAATTCATGACTGCTGTAAGGCTGGTGACTACTCCTCCCTAAGTCCTTGAAAGTGAAAGCAAGCTGAAAAATCAGATTCCTTATTTCACACACTTGCTTAATAGCTGATGAAAACACCCACATAACTTAACACAATGGTCTTTTTTGTTGTTGTTAAAACAAAGGTCTGCTGGTGATGCTTCACAGTGAAACCTCCATTATCACTGAGAATGTCACTTGGAAAACATTCTTAAGAAATGAGTCTCTTTCTTATAGGCTCAATTTCAGGATTCTCAAAACTCAATGTTCTGTTTAGAAGTTTCCATAATGAAGCCTATTTGTTTCTGAGGTTGACACTTTGCCTTCAGATTTATTTCACTCCAGTCATAAGTTGTGGTTGTCTTTGTTCTTGGTCAGAACCTGCAAGTAGACTTCATGAAGTGTACTGATGAAGCTGGGATCATTCTAGAAGAGATGGTAAGGTTAAGAACATGCAATGTCACATTTACCTCATCAGATCTTATTTACTTCCTTGATAACATCTTTGGAAAAAAAACTGTGTAAATGATTTGTATAGCTAATTACACAATCCCATCACCCAGAGATAGTCATGATTAAGATTTAAGTTCACACGGATATTTCTCTACCAAGACTGTATGCTCAAGAGGAGAGAAATATTACTCAGAACTAATCTTTTTTTTTTTTTAGATACAGGGTCTTGTTCTGTCACCCAGGCTGGAGTGCAGTGGCACAATAATAGCTCACTGCAGCCTCGAACTTCTGGGCTCAATCCATCCTCCCACCTTCATGCTAATCTTCCAGTTTACTTTATGAACTGATTCTGTAAGAACTTATTTGTTTTCTTTTATTAAAGAATGAAAACTCAAAGTCTAAACTGACATCCTACGTACCTTTATTAGATGTATTAATGTGTCCTGGAGCTGAGACTTGCTGAGAATAATGGAAGGCTTTCTTTGATTTTCTGGTGTTCCAATAGTTAGAGGAGAAGGGGAGCTTGCTTTCCTCTCAAGGTCTGAGGACCTTGTACCCGTCTGCTGGAAAACACTTGGGGATAGCAGAACTGAAGACACTGCAGTGGTTGTTGCAGTAACCAGTGGGGGGCCTGCAACCTGTAGGGGAACAACGGTTATTTGCATAAAGTGCAGAAGCCAGCAGCCAGGCCCAGAAGAGGGAACATTCGACAACAGGTATAAGCAGTATAAGGTTGGAGACCAGAATCAAAGGCTAAATACCTTGAGTCTGAGTTTACCATAAGTTTGGGTAAGCTTTCACTAGAAGCATTTGGACATTTTACACCTGGTTATGAAGCTTCTGTTAGCTAAAGGATGAGAGCCCATCTATATAAAAATGGTCTAGAATCATCATGGGAAGCCAAGTCCAACCACCCAGAAGGTGAATATGATAAATAACGATATAGAATGCACAGTAAGAACAATTCTATGATCTATTTAAAATGTAAAGTTTTTAGGGGGGAAGTCAAGAAAATGACTGGAAAAAGACATAAGGAAACTTCTGGGGTAACAGAAATGTTATAAATTAACTGAGTTGGTGATTACCCAAGGGATGTTACATACATGTGTCAAAACTCATTAAAAAATCTGCTGTTTAATGTATACAAATTATACTACAATAAAAAAGAATTTACAAATCCTGTATGTTCAATCTATTTATTATATCATTACAGGTATCAAAGACACAATTAATTAAAAATAAAGCTAATAACTCCCTCCCTCCCTTCCTACCCCATTTAGATGGGCTTCTAGGCTAATTACAGCTAACAATCTGAACACATTAAACCAGTAATCAACAGCCTCTTTAACAACTCTCACATTTGATGTGATCAACAGATCTACACTTCTCTCTGCTATATGTCATCTCATTTACAAATAGCACAGAGTCTGTCACAGTTTTAAGGGTATGTCTTCTAGTATCTGAACCATTAGCTTATTTTTGTTTGTTTTTTAAGACACAGGGTCCCATCCTGTTACCCTGGCTAGATTTCAGTGGTGTGATCATAGCTCACTGCAGCCTTGACCTCCTGGGCTCAAGTAATCCTCCTACCTCAGCCTCCTGAGTAGCTGGGACTACAGGCACATGCCACCATACCCGGCTAATTTTTGTTGTTGAAACAGGGGGGTAGAAGCCTGGGGAGGGGTTCAGGGGGTGGCCAACCCGGAACGTCCTTGGCCCCTCAGCTCCATGCCTGGGCGAGCAGGTTGTGCTGAGGCCATGGGCAAAGTGTTCTCTGCACCAGCTGACCACATCTTGTAGCTATGCATAGGGAATGTTCTCACACACCTTTCCCTGAGGCAGTCAGCCCCTCTTGGCAGGTTCAGATTAGATCAGGCACATCTAGATCAACGCCCAAAACCTTTGGTCACCTTTAGTTCATTATAATACTAAAAATTTCACCCCAAAGAGAATCCACAGCCATTCTGTATATATGAGACATATGTGTAAGCATGTTCTCACACTAATCCTGTGCACTAGAAACCCTACCATGGTCACCCTTAACCCTGTACTCCCCTCTATGGAAAATGCTATATAACCTATATCTCTTTTACAGTTGGGAGTTTTTTCCTGTTTGGCCTGCTGCTCTTGGGTCATCTTCCTTTAAGTTCCTGAATAAAGCCCACGTCTTGTCCATTGTCTCTGGGTCATTTCTTTGGCCTCTTGGACTCAGTGCCTTCTGTTTTGGGGTCTTTGGGACAGGGTCTTGCTGTTGCCCAAGCTGGTCTTGAACAATCCCAACTCAGTTTCCCAAAATGCTGGGATTATTAAGAGTAAGCTACTATGCCTGGCTGATTTAGTTTGTTTGGTGCAAAATAGGGTGAGAGCTCCTGATCACCACGTAGCACAAAAAACTACAGAAAAGACTGGTTAATGAGACCAGTCAGAAACTGACTTTAATTTAAATTCTGAGACTCAAGGAGAGGTATAAAGGCTCAAAGGCAAATGGGAATAAGAGTTTAAGGAATCGAAAAAAAGGGTGTGTATTTCAAGGCTGACTGGTGATGGAGAGAGGGGACAAGAAAAATGAGGCAAAGGGAGACAAACAAGGGATAGGGTATGCAGGCCTGGGAGGCTTTGTTGTCAGAGCAATGAGAAATGAGGATTGTAGCAGGGTGGTGTCCCTGTATCTGGAATGTGACAGCTCTTCCAGGGCAACGGATACTTCCTACTTACAGAAACCAAGCAGTCACTCATTTGGAATGAGGGCCCATCCTGGCCTCTACATGCAGCCAGGGAAGACATCCTTACAGAAGTGATCTAAGAGCTACAGAGGTCGCAGTGAACTCTGCCTGGGAGGTAGGGAGCCTGGTCTGAGAGGGGTTCTAAGATGGGCTTGGGCTTAATAGTTAAAACTTTTCACCAAGTTAACAATGTTTTACTTCACACTCAGCAGAGGAGCTTAAAAACACATAATACGTTTTCAGGAAATAGAAGTCCTTACTGGCATGGCACTGGACAACACCTTAGGCTGGACAAATACTTCAGGATCCTGGTTTTGCTGCATAGACTGGAACATATAAAGAAAAAAGGTAAACACATGTAGCAAGTTTCAATTAAGACAATTTCCTAGTTACTGCTGGAAAATCTAAGTTAGCAGGAGGGAATGGCTCAGACAGAAACTAGTTCCTAGGTTCTCTGACAGGAACTTGTGACAATGCAACCAGTTATTCAACTGCACAATGACAGCTTGGGAACAGCCTTTCCTCTTTAGTTCCTCTGAGAAAAGGGTGTGTGCAGAGTGTTTAAGACAACTTAAGAACCAAAAAAAAACCCCAGGTCCTAAACTTGGCTACTGCCACATAAATGAAAATTTACATGTATGTAACTCTCCCAGCCAGGAGGCATGTTAAAGCAGGGTGCTTTCCCAGAGGCCAGAATCTGGAGAGAGCAGCATTCAAGACAGCTGTTTGTACTTTCAGAGAAACCAGGACAATGGCAGCAGGCACATTACAGGGCTGAGATACCTATCTGCTAAACAGAATATTCTCTCTTCTTTTTTTGAGTCGGGATCTCACTCTGCTGTCTAGGTTAGAGTAGAGTAGCACAATTATGGCTCACTGCAGCCTCAGCCTCCTGGGCTCAGGTGATCCTTCTGCCTCAGCCTCCCAAGTAGCTGGGACTATGGGTGCATGCCACCATGCCCAGCTTTTAAAATATTTTTGTAGAGATGAGGTCTTCCTATGTTGCCCAAGCTGGTCTCAACCTTCTGGGCTCAAGCAATCCTCCTGCCTCAGCCTCCCAAAATGCTGGGATTGCAGGTATGAGCCACCGCACCCAGCCTCTCTTCTTTTTGTGCTGCAGAGTTCTCAGTAGAGATAGGCGAAGAATAAAAGTATAATGATGTAACCAAGATGCTAAGTTTCCTCTCTTTCTGGGCAAGTTTTCAAAGGAATGGAACAAAATATCCCATTAACTAGGAAATAACACACACTAATTATGATGAGCTTGTCTATATATTATTGTTTGGTAAAATGTTAAGATTGGGGATTATAATATTGTATAGAAAAGATAATTACTGTGTGTTATCTCCTAGTTAATGGGATATTTTGTTCCATTCCTTTGAAATCCTGCCCATAGAGAGAGGAAACTTAGCATCTTGGTTACATCATTTACTTCTATTCTTCAGCTATCTCTGCTGAGAACTCTGTAGTACAAAAAGAAGAGAGGCTGGGTGCGGTGGCTCATACCTGCAATCCCAGCACTTTGGGATGCTGAAACAGGAGGATCGCTTGAGCCCAGGAAGTTGAGCCCAGCTTGGGCAACATAGGGAGACCTCATCTCTACCAAAAAAAAAATAATAATAATTAGTTGGGTATGGTGGCACACACCCACGGTCCCAGTTCCCAGGAAGGCCGAAGTGGAAGGATCGTCTGAGCACAGGAGGTTGAGGCTGTGGTGAGCTGTGATCATGCCATTGCACTCCAGTCTGGGCAACGGAGTGAGACCCCAACTCAAAAAAGAAAAGAGAATATTCTGTTCAGCAGATAGGTATCATAGTCCTGATACCTATGGGGATTATTATTATTATTATTTATGGGCATGAGACTAAAATCCTGAAAAGTAACCAATACTGTTTTCAAGTAGCAGGTCTATCCCTTGCAGTTCTGTAATTTTGCATAGGTCACTTACACTCTGAATCGATTTTCTCTTTTGTAAACTCACCAACCTAATGAATTACTGTGAGGGACAAACTCTTCTTTGTCCTCCACATCTAATCTACGCCTAAGTCTCACTGGTCAGATGTCTTGCTAGAGCCACCTGTCCACACTCCCAGATTCAGGCCAACCAGCCCCAGCCTGGGTAACTGGTCCTGCTCCCAGCTCCTCCTTTCTCCGCACATTACTCCTTGCTTAAAGCCCTTCAAGATTTCCCAGGCCTCCAAGAACAAAACTCAAACTCCTTAACAATTCATTTCACAATGTCTTTCTCATCTCCCCATACTGGCTCCCCTAACTTTCTTGACACAGTAAACCCAAGAACGCTACGGGTCTTTTTAATAAATGAACTCATTTCATGAGACAAAGATGTAATTAAGTTCACCAAATGCCCTGACCTCCAAACCTTTGCACCTCTAGGAAAGGTCTGGCTAGTTTCTACTGAGCTGTCAAATCTCAGCTGAAACATCAGTTTCACTCAGAAGATTTACTTGACCTCACACCTTCAGATTTGGGATGCTCCTGGGCACCCCTGGGATACAGGGCACAAGGCAGGAACTTGAGACCACTGAGGGAATTGGGAAGGAAACTAAGCTGGAATAATTTGAATCTACGGCCCTAAGTCAAATGCAGACTCCTGGAACTGTCAGGCAAAAACAAAACAAAAACGCCTAACGTGCTTACCTATACAGGAAAATACAAATACGATTTTTTAGGTTTCCTCAGTGTAGTATTTTTGGGACATGGAATTGAGCCACACCACCATTCACCAATTACTTAGTTGTTTCCTACAGGGTTTCTTACCCCATGTCTCCTAGTCCCTGGGAGATTTTAAAGGGACAACTCTTTAACACTGCCTGTCTCATGTCAGTTAAAACCAGGGTCTTTGTAGTTCCATTCCATCCAACAACAGACCCCAGCCTGCCCGCCCCGCCCCCCTGCCACTACCTGAAGGGGAGCAAGCACCATGTTGCTCAGGGAGGCTGAGGCCGCTGCTCTTGCTGCTGCTGTCTTAGAGGGAGGCTCTATGAAGCTCTCGGGGGTGGCCAGCTGGCCAGCTGCTGGAGAAAAGCCAGGTACTACTGCACTTTTCCCAAGCGGCTGTGTCTGTATTTGGTCGTGCTGTGTAGTCAACCTGAGTTTCTGGAGGAGATCAACGCTTGGGAGGGTTGTGCCAGCCATGTTCGTCATGTTCAGTGGGGCCCTGAAGGTGCTCTGGGTGGCAATCAGACTGGCGTGGCTTAGCTCAGGGACGGGCTGGCTCAGGAGTGGAGACCTCTGTCTAGGTGTGGTCTTCACTGCCTGCATCATGGTGGTGTTTCGAGGTAAGCTGGGGGGAGCCTGTGCAGTAGGAGTTTCAGCTGGCAGCGTGGGACTGAGAACAGGGCTCAAAGGGACTGTGTAGCTAAGGGCATGCTTTTCACTGGACTGTGTGATGGAGGCTGGAGTGATTAGCACCGGGGTGGTGACTTCAGATTGGACTGAATGGTGAGCAGCAGAATGGACACCCAGAGTTTCCGACTGAGGGGCTCCTCCAGACTGCTCAAAGGGAAATGGCAGGAATGAGCTGGGTTCTTTCTGGGAGACATCTCCTGGCAGCCTCTCCACTTCTTCTGAATCCAGACCCACAACTGCTGGCTGTTCCTTTGGCAAAGAGGTTCCAAATAACTCTTCCACGGTTAGATGTTTATGTCCAGATGGAGCAGACTGAAAAACAAATCAAACCACCCAGTGAAAGAGATCTTGTAGATCAGTGTAACCAATCTTCTTTTTCATCAACCAAAACAGTTTGCAGAAATGAGGATGGATGGAATCTGAAAACAGAGGTTAAGGCCAAGGTACATCTAGTCTCCCCAAGTTGATGGACTGAAATCTGCATTGGTAAAAATACATCAAATTTCTAGGGACTCTGGGAAATGGCATTAGAATTCACTTTTTTTCTTTGACAAAGCTAATTATGCCTAATTGCTGTCAATTACACACATAGGGAAATGATACTAGAGAGGAGAGAGTGACCAGATGCTAGTCAAGCGATCCAAGTAATCCTACTGCTCTTTTTTTTTTTTTAAGACAAGGGCTCACTCTGTTACCCAGCTCTTTTTTTGTTTGTTTTTGTAAAGACAGGATCTCACTATATTGCCCAGGCTGGTCACAAACTCCTGAGCTCAGGTGATCTCCCACCTCAGCCTCTCAAAGTGCTGGGATTACAGACATGATCTATTGCTCCCAGATGCTCTTGATTTAAAAATAAGATCGCACTTCAGGGACTGGGTCCCTGAATATCAGAACATAAATTTAACCATAAAATAGAAGGTCATTCTCCCTTCTTGACCCCAATCATAGAATCCTTAAGAAAAAACAAAGCATTTATGTCTGACAACTTTAAATTTACTTGTATTTTAGTAAATCAGCTTACTGATACTATTACAACCATTCAAAGGAAACATTCATGCTTGTCTGTGCCTTCACACAGTATTGCCATATTCAATAACCTTTACTTCCTGAGTACTCATGGGGTGCCAGGTCCTGTTTTAACCCAGGGTACAAGGGACACAGCAGGAAGTAACAATTTACATTCTGGTGGGAGACACATCTAAGTACTTTGAAAACACAGGCAGCCTCAACTTATGGTTTTATTCTTAAGTTGTGTGAACAACTTAGGTGTTTATATTGAAAAATTTAAATTCACTGAAACACATGATTTTTGGAGCCTTAGAAAGTCTATAAGATCTTAAAATACATTGCATCTGAAGTATAATAGTGATAGCACTATGATACGATCACATTTCTACAGGAAGACAAACCCAGTTTTTCCAGGCAAATGTTTGTTATCCATTTGACAAATAATTATTGAGTTTAGCAGGTATCAGGCATTGTCCTATGATTGAGGCAGGGAAAAGAGGCAAGGACAACAGGTGATAAGGCTTTCCATTCTGCCCTCCAGGATGGCAGGACCACTAGAGGGAGGGAGGCACTCAGAGAGGACATTTGGCTGAGGGAGGGACAAGGTGAGCTGGTTGGAGGGCACAGCCATTCCAGAGCTACGAATGCTTCAGCAGGGCTGGGCCAGAGGTTGGGGAGGAGTAGGGGTGGTGGAGGGAGGGAAGCTACGGGCAGATGGCAGAGTATCTGAGACACATGAGGGGATCTGGGCTTTACCCACAGGGCAATGGGATGCATTCAGGGAATGGGTCATTGTGCTTTGTATTTTAGGATGTGTACTTTGGCAGTCACATAAAGGACAAATTGAAAGGGTGAGATTGAGGGGACTCTGGCAGAGCAGAGGAGAACTGAGGGTTAGGATGGAAAGAGCTGGTGGCTGACCAGCCAGGAGAGTGGAGCAGAGAGGATGCTGGTATCTGGGTACTGGACAGTGCTTCCAATCTTGGACAGGCAAGCCCAGGAAAAGCCCCTAAGGTAAGGGAGAGGTGAGTTGTGAATATTGCTTTTTTTTTTTTTTTTTAGATGGAGTCTCACTGTTGCTTAGGCTGGAGTGCAATGGCACACTCATAGTCACTGCAGTCTTGACCTGCTGGGCTCAGGTGATCCTTTTACCTCAGCCTTCCAAGTAGCTAGAACCAACAGGCACGTGCCAGCATATCTGGCTGATTGCTTTTTACTTATTGTAAAGATGAGGTCTTGCTAAGTAGCCCAGGCTGGTCTCAAATTCATGGGCTCAGGCAATCCTCTTGCTTCGACTTCCCAAAGTGCTGGGATTACAGGCATGAGCCTTCACACCTGGCCTATGCATACTTCTGAGGTCTCTGGGATATCTGGAACCTGAAGGTACTGATGTGGAAGCCTTCAAATCGCAAAAATGCTTTAAGTCAAGGGAGCAAAGGTATTCCCTCAGGAAACTGCAAGGACAAAGCTGTAGGGCTGTGCAGCCACCAAGAGGCAGGGCCTTGAGCAACACTGCTAATGGCTGCTCTGCTTCTTTCTAGCTGTGTGACCTGAGGACTGTTTGCCACCTCTTCAAGTCTCAGCTCCTTTGCAAAGTAGGGAAGGCTAATGGGAGGCTGAAACGTACAGAACCCAGCATACAGGAAGTGCTTGTTTAATGTTAGCACTCCTAATAAAAGCAAAAGCAAGTTCCTCCAAGGCAGGGTTGTCTTTCTCACTGATTCCCTGACCCTTGCCCTCCTTCCTCCTGGCTTGCTTACAAGCAATGGCACCCAGGATCACAGATCCACTAAGAACATAGTGAAGGCCCAACAATGCTCTCTCCCAAAGTTCTCCCTGAGGGGATAGGGTAGCATGAGGACTCAGGCACTTAAGGGAAGGAGGCAAAGAGGATACAAGGATATATGTCAGGTAACAGGGAAAGGAGGTCAGCACTGATAAGGATGCAGGGAAGTTTGCATGTGAGAGCAAGAAGTAAAGGGAGCGCCCTTTTGGCAACTCTCACCGGTATGAGGACAGTACCACTGACTGAGAGGTGGTAGGACAGGTCTAAGGAGCATGTAGTTGGTGACAAGTGACTTGTGGGGGAAGAGGTAGGAGCCTCCCCCAGCTGTAAAAAAAAACTCCTGCTTCATACCAAACCATTTTACCTTAGAAAATATTCAATAAAGATAACTCCACAATATTAAAAAGTAAATACAACATGTCTTGGCAAGTTAATATGACAAGAGGTCTTTGTGTAAGTGCAGAAATTCTCAAATGGCAAGTTTTGGCCCCCACTAAAAGTGTTGTAGTAAGACTAGTGATACTACCTTGTGGCAATATTCTAAAGGATTAAGCACTTTAAAGCATTTTCCAGATTTAGAATCTCACTTCAAATATAAGGTAGTATCAACACCTAACTATAAACTGTGGATGGAAAAAGAAAAAAGCCAAATATTTTACATGGCTTAATTTCCTGACATTTTACTTCTGAAAAAACTGTAGGGCTTAGGATCTAAAATCAAAGATGCCTAGGTTCAATCCTCAGCTGTTAACTGGGATAATTACACAATCTTTTTATTTAGTTCCTCATCTGAAAAATGGGGACAACTGTGGCAATTTTCTCATACAGTTGTTGTGAAAATAAAATTCTCAAAGTAACAGCTGGTGCCCAACAAGCTTCAATAAATTGAAGTTGGCTTTTATCATCACATAAACACCATATAGTCTTGAGAGCAATCATGATACACCTGAGTTTGAATACTATTTAGGGACCAAATAAAAACTCATCAAATCCTTCTGGAATATCTTATCCCTATAATATAAAAACAACAAAAATCACCTGACAAGCTGTGCTATTATAAACCACCCTGTCCCCTGATACAAGGAATCATCAAAGACACAGTTGTTTAAAATTCCCTAGTAACATTTCAAACCCAATTAATGTTAAGTTAAAATAGATAACAAATTCTGCCTTGGGACAGACTTCTGGGTACAGTCCACATAGCTATAGTCAAGTACATAGGTTCCATTTCCTGTGTAACCTACTCTCTGTTGGATTCCTGGCATCATGTCTGTTGATGGCACAGAGATAATTTCTACCCTCCATTAAAACAATTGTGATAAAATATACATAAAATTTACCATTTTAATTATATTTAAGTATAAAATTCAGTGGCATTCAATACATTCAAATGTTGATTGCAAAGTTCATCTATGTTGTAACATGTATCAGAATTTAATTTATTTTAATGGCCGAATAGTATTCCATTGTATGTATATACCACATCTTGTTTACCCATTCATCTGTTGATGGATATGTGAGTTCTTGAGTTGTTCCTACCTTTTGGCTAGTGCTGCTGTGAACACTGGTATCTCCTTGAAAATGTTTTTCAATTCTTTTGAGGTATACACTCAGAAATAGAACTGCTGGGTCATATGGTAATTCTACATTTAGCTTTGTGAGGAATTGCCAAACTGTTTTCCATAGTGGCTGTATCATTTTACATCATCACTGGCAATCCTAGAGGGTTCCAATTTCTCTATATCCTTGTCAACACTTGCAATTTTCTGTTTTATGGATATTAACCATCCTTATGGGTATGAAGTGGCATTTCAATGTGGTTTAGCTTTGCATGTCTCTAGTGACTAATGATGCTGAGCATCTTTTCATGTGCTTATTGGCTACTTGTATATCTTATTTGAAGATTTCTATTCAAGTCTCAATTCAGTTCTGAATTGGGTTAATTCCTTTTAAAATACATTATGTTTACGAAAAAAATGGGAAGAGAACCCTGAGCATTTGTCATACATAATACTGTAAGAAAGGGATTGGCAGTCGTGGGGCAGGTGGCGGGAGGGTGGGGGGGAGGGACAATGCATAACATCAACAAGTGTACCTGATCTCAAACCAGGCAAAGTGGGGACAAAAGGGAGGCCCAAACTTCATCTGTACGATGACCACTTGTGAACCTAATCCTGAATTATGCCCCATATCTTTAAAATTAAAAATGAAATTAAATTTCAAGATTGTTTAGCAAAAAAAGTTACCAGAAAACAACATAAATTCTTATTAATTAATGCAAATTATATAGCTCTCAGCTGCCACATTCTGTTAAACACACAAAAAAACCCAACATTTAGATGCAACAATTTTGAAAATCAGAGACCGATAAGGAACTCAAACATGCCGAAAGGGAAAAAACAAACAGCCCCATTAAAAAGTGGGCAAAGGATATGAATAGATACTTCTCAAAAAAAGGTATACAGGCAGCCAATAGACACATGAAAAAGTGCTAAGTCTCACTCATCATCAGAGAAAC